AAATAAAAGGATTCCCCATATTTTCCTATAGGTTATGGGTTATTGTCTTCCCCCCACCTCCCATATTTCCTGGGAGTCGACTATTAATTGTGCCTGTGTGTTTCTTCCCCTCATGATTTACGTGCGCAGAAAACGATCTTTCGAGAGCACGCGGCCCCCCGCCGGCCCAAGCAAGCAGACCATCCGAGGGTGCCCTCCCCAGGATGCACAAGAACGCTCCGCAGACACGAAGAACACCAGGGCATCCTGCCCGAAGCGACCTCGACCTGACACCTCGGTCCGCCTGCATTTTTTGGGGGCCGCCTGCGAACCCTGCCCCACCCTCCCCCTCAAAATCGTGGGGGGTAGGGGTAGGGTTCGCAGGTGGCCTCCTATTCTTGCAAGTGTGTTCGGGAGCGGCCAAGAGGGGGTGCCCAAGAGGGGGGGGTGCAAATCATGACTGGCGGCATGTGCGCGGCCCAGCGGGGGGGCCAGGGACGTAATGAAATCTGGGGAACTATCATGGCCCCCGCCATGATATCCACCCCCCCCCCTAGTCATCACCCCCCTCTTTGCCGCCCCCGATGTGTGGCCTGGCCTGTGGCGCGCCGCTTGCCGACGGGCAGGCGCGCTGCGACCCGTGGCGGCTGGCGCGCTCGGGCTCGCGCCCGCCCCCCTGCGCCCCCCGAGCGCCGCGCACCACGGGTCACTCCCGCAAAGGGGCGCTCGGTTCTCGGGTCGTGCCCTTAGGCCGGGCGCGTCCCTCTACAGGCAGGTTTCGAACGAAAAATGGAAAGAAGAACCAAGCCGTACTCAAAACATATTCAAGGATATTCAGGAAAATCGTCCCCTGACTATGTCTGGACCATTTTTGAGTATCTCCCCCCCTGTAGAGGGACACGCCCGACGTAATCGTACCCCCGTGTCTCCGGCGGCCGTCGGGGACGACTGCCCTCGGGGAAGCCCAGCTGCTGGAACGCACCTCGAAGCGAGAGCAGGAAGTAAGCCGCGAACCGACCTCGATCTTGCACAGAATGGAGGAACAAAACGGCATAAGCATAAGCATAACCATATAATGGGGGAAGAACGCGGCATCAGCACAAACTTGCGGCGCTTCGCGCGGATATCTTGGATCTGCGCTGGACTGGACCCCCCTCCCTGGCGCGCGGAGCGCGCCAGGGGCGGCGTCAGAGGCGCCGCCAGGGGGGCCCCAGCGCAGATCCAAGAAATCCGCGCGGAGTGCCAAAAGTTTATGCTTACACGTCGGTCGGAATACGTAAGTAAAAACATGAAGTAGGAAGGCGGATATAGTGCATTGGGTCCAGGCCCTCCCAGAGAATAACAAAACACAGCAAAACCATGACGATTCTTGAAGTAGGAAGGCGCTTGAAGTAGATTGGGACCTGGGGATCACAAAACACCTCGGCCTCGCCCCGCTGCAGTCGACGGCCGCAGGAGCACACACCGATCGAGCGTCGGCTGCCAGGCCTTCACCACCGCCAGCGCGGCGTCGGAGTGGAGCGGCTGCCCGTCGCCGCCCATGGCCGGGTGGCCCGCGGGGGGGGGCGGAGGGAGGCAGGCCGGGCAGGCGGGCGCGTGAGGGGCGCGATAGGGGCCCTCAGATCTGGATGGCGCAGAGAAGGGGCGAGTGCCAACGTTAGGTCGGGCATGTCCTCCTAGAGGCGGATGTTGGAAGGAAAATAAGATAGATTCAACACGTATTCGAAACAAGCATGGAACAATAATAGAAACATCGTCCCACACCATTTGTTTTGGGACTCTCTCGAAGATTCCTCCTGTAGAGGGACGTGCCCGACTTAATACTAATGGGGTGTGGCCCAACTCGGAGGTGCAGAAGAGGGCCCCAAAGGGGCCCTGCAGGCCTCCGTTTGGAGCCAGCGGGTGCCTAAAAAGATGCCCCTAAAAGGCCCCATGGCCGTGCGCAAGATGGCACAACGACAGTACGCAGCGGCCTACGCGGGCCGCCCGCGCGGCACGCCACATTTGAAGCGAAGGCGCTCACGCGCGACGTTGCGCGGGCAACTTGTGCGCCGATGTCGGTGAAAACGGCTCCCTTTCTGGGCGTTGCTCAACCGTGACGGCTGGTTCTCTTGGTTCTCGGCCTCCAGGGTGAGCATTGGTTGACCGATCCCTTTCCCCACTAGCGTGGCTCTGTCCCCACTGGCCGACTTGCTTGCTCGCCTAGGTGGGGACAGAATCCCAGGTCGAGGGCTCACATACCCACCTCCCCTCGCCCCCAAATGGGATGGGCCCCAGGGTTCCACGAGCCTGCTCCACGCTGCTGTCTCCGAAAAGAACATTTTCCGAGACTAAGGTTGCAGGGCTTCGTGAATGGGATCGCTCCCCCACCCGCTCCTCCCCCATCCAGTGGTCGTGACACTGTGGGCGTGACGTGGTGGTTGGTGTCGGTGCCCCTGTGGATGAGGGGTGGTTCGTCGTCGTCGTTGTTGTCGTCTTCGTCGTCGTCGTATTTCGTCGGCGTCGTCGTCGTCGTCTTCCGTCGGCGTCGGCGTCGTCGTTTTCCGTCGGCGTCGTCATTCCCCCCTCATCACGTCTGGACGGGGGGGCTTTGAACCCATGGGCCCATCCTATCGGGGGGGGGCTGTGAGCCCTCGAAACGGGATCATATACGTATGCCTGTTCCTTCGGGTTTCGCGTGCCCATCCCACATGCTATGGACCAGTGGGGGGGGGACCAGGGGGGGGGGACCAGGGACTGGTGAGTCTGCGATACTATGGACCAGTGGGGGGGGGACCAGGGACCGAGGTTACGAGAAATTGCAGCGTCGGGAAGTCCGCAACGACTCCACCGTGGACTCCACGCCTCTTCTAGGGGTCGGCGGAATTCGGGGGCGTCCGAGAGGGGGTGGCGCAAATCATGGCCAGCGGCATGTGCGCGGCCCAGGTGGGGGGCCGGGGACGTGTTGAAATAAGAACGGAGGCCGCGAAACCTGGGGCAATATCAGGGCCCCCGCCATGACTTCCACCCCCCACCCTAGTCATCACCCCCTCTTTGCCGCCCCCGCTCTTTCCACGCCGAGCGTCTCGCCCAGGCTCGGGCCCCAAGCACCTCGCGGATCGGTCCGGCTCGAGGGAAGTGCCGCCGAAAGTTGGGCTCCCTGGACTGTTGCTGCGCTTTTCAGCATGCTGCATTCGTGTCGCGACCGACGCCGGATCTCAGGGCACGCATTTTTCAGCACTGGTGGTGCTTGCGGAGTGGTGTCGTTATGGCGTTCACTGGTGCGTTTGGGACCCGCCTCACATCTACTCTTCGCCAAAGATGCGGTAGGCTGCACCACTTCAGTGGAGGAGGACAAGAGGAGGTTGGGGAGGAGGAGGAGGAGAAGGAAGAAGAGGAGCAATGAGTAATGAGCATCGGCGGAAGCTCAAATGAGCTGCTTAACTCACACAGAGGCTGGACACGAAGTGTACGCGGACGAGGAAAATGACTGGACGGAAAGGGGAGGCGGGCGGCAATATCCGCCCAGGCAAGACGATGGCGACTCCTCGTCGACCACCCCATGCTGCTGTTCCTCCTCGTCCCCTCATAGACGCTCAACACAACTATCATGCTCCGACTAATCTGCTCATCCCGCTTACATATCCTTACCTGGCGACGGCAACTGCTTTTGGCCAGACGTTGGGCCCAAGCTCGCCAAGTGCCGCACACCAAATCCCGAGTAGCAAACACATGGTGTAATTACGCGGCCGCGGCCGTGACGGGTGGAGGGAGGGGAAGGAAACGGAGGGTCGGAGGAATGGAGACGGGAGTGCGGAGGGGAGGGAGACAGGACCGAGGGAATGGAGACGGGAGTGCGGAGGAGCAGCAACAAGAGTCTTCAACGATTGGCGAGCGAGGAGGCGAAATAGATGGGGGGCGGAGCAAAGAGCACGGAGATATGAGGCTAGAGCGCGCCCAGAGTCTAGGACGAGGTGCAGTGATGGAGGAGGGCGAAAGACGATGCGCAATGATGGATGACGAGATGGATATGCAGTGGCACAGGGAAGCGGAGGAGGAGGAGGAGGAGCAGAGGAAGAGGAAGAGGAGGAGGAGGAGGAGGAGGAGGAACAGGAACAGGAGGAGGAGGAGGAGAAGAGGAGGAGAGCCGAATAACGGGAGGCACCAGCAGCAATTAGTCGAGCAACCTCCGTCCTGTTGTTGCTTGCAACGCAAATGTCTGATGTCCGTTCGTAACTCGGGTCTCTGGCGGCCGTCCGGGAAGACCCCGGCGCCCCTCGGAACGCTCTCGGCGAGACGCAGCTCCTGGAGAGCATCGCCGAGACGGGAAAGCCCCAAAAAGCCAACGACAACATCCGACCGTCCCCACAGAACCACCCGAAAACAACCAACACCTCCTTCCGCTGGAGGCCTCCCAAATGGGGTCGGAGCAGATGTGGTCGGACATTGGCGCCGCATCGCCGATGCATCACTGATGCATCGGCGACGTATCGGCGACGTCGGCGACGCATCGGCGGCGTCGGCGTGGAGAAAGTCGGAGCGCATCGGCGACGCGGCGCGACCCCGACCCCACCCAGGAGGCCTAGGTTACGAGGAGAACGGCGCCCATGCACCGTACCATGTGTGGATTCCGTTGAGGTCCCGCTCCAAGGCGGTAAGGTTCCTAGTTATCCCGCTCTAAGGGTAGAAAAACTGCGCACCGCAGAGACTACTGTGTCGAGCATCGACGACGCCTCGGGAGACGCCAACCCGGTACGGTTTGCACAAAGCGTCCGCGGACAAATCCGCCTCCCCCCTCCTCTCATCCTTGAGCAGGGACCGAGCGTCCCGGCTTTCTTATAGGCCTACCACGACATGTTCGTAGAACCAACAGGATGTTTTTTAATAGCATCAATACAGTTCTTAGAACAGAAAGCCAGTGTGTTAAACAAAGATGGTTCTAAGAACGCTCCGTGCGAAGCACAGAAGGCTCTCAGAACATCCTTTGGCGTGCCCGCAGGCGAGCCAGGACGCTCCGCCGCTGCCTGACGTCGGCAGAAGTCCTTTGCCTGCTGCCTCGGGAGGTCGCTCGCCCGCGGCGCTCGACGGGCGAGCCACACAGCTGCCCGGCGGCCGGCCCCAGGGAGGCGCCGGCAGCGAGAGCCTCGCGGGGGAGGCGGCCGAAGAGGCAGCGCGGCACCCTCCCCTGCGACGGGCCCTACGTGCGCCCCGAGATCCTGGCGACGCCAAACATGACCAGACTCGAACTGATACCTGTCCCTAAGGCGGGCAGGCCAGAGGCGATGGCAGTCTTGGGGGATGTGCCCTCCGAAACTGCGACAGTCCTCAAGATCGGTATCGAGGTAAGGTGATGCCGAACATAGTGGTGGGGTTCGGTCGGGCGTGCCCCCCTACAGGCGGTTTTTGGGCAACAAATTCTAGAACTACTAAAGCAATGCACAAACATAGTCAAAAATAGTCAAGCAATCGTCCCCAGACGATTCTTTGACTATTTTGAATATTCCTCCTGTAGAGGGAAGGGACAGGCCCGACGTAAGGATAGGGATATGCGTCGAGCAGGTAAACAACAAGGAAGCAGTTGCTTGCTACCTTATGGCACATGGTCCTGCTTTTGGGGAGGGGGCTGCGTGGCAAGGTCCGACGGGAAGCCTGGACTTTTCACGCGGGTTGGGACGCGCCTGCACCCCTGCTCGGCCCAGCAGCACTGTTTGAGACGGCGAAGCGGCGGCGGAGGGGTGTGTGGAAGCGAGGGGGTGGGGTGGGCGTGGTGCGGGGGTTGAATGGGGGTGGTGGGCTTGGTGTGGGGGTGGGGTGGGGGTGGTGCGGGGTGGGTGTGGGGGGGGGGAGGGGCGCAAAATGAATGCCATGCAAATACCATTCATAGCCTGGGTCGAAAGTGGGAAACCCTTCAGTCGCAGCGGCCGGCCTGGACTTCGGCCTCGGGAGACCTGTGCCGGCCCCTGAAACGGTGACAAACTGCAGCCGGACCCGGGACAGAAGAACATCCTTCAGGAACATGAGACCCTTCGCTGGCCAAAATTGTAGAACATTCGAGGGTACCCTCCCCGAGGTTGCACAAGAACATCCAACAAACACAAATAATATTAGGGTACCCTTCCCGAACCGACCGCGATCTTACACCTCGATCAGACCGTAGTCTGGATGAGAATTACGCCCCGTGGCTGACGCCAGGCAAGCAAAAATGAGACTCTCGGAGGAGAAGGGGCAGTCCCCGCCCGAGCGATCTCAGAAGAACGATACAATTCAGGAAGCCAGGGCAGATCCCACCAGCCCTTCGGACGTAGGTGGTCAAACGAACTCTTGTCTCCTGCTCGGGGGAGGGGTTCACCCCTCCCCTTACCCCCTCCCCTGGGTCTGGGAAGGGGGGTGGGGCCCGACACATTGGAGCCTTGTCCGGCGCTGGATATTCCCACCAGCCCAAGCGGCGCCACCCGCGTCAACTCTTGGCGCGCTTCGCGCGTCAAGAAAAACCCAAAGCCGACCGAAGATATCCGTGCGGATCTGCGAAACTTGTTGCTTACAGTGGAGGCCAGTCCACAAGAAACCCGAACCCGACTCCGACTCGCCAGGACGTCCATGAATTCTTGGTGTGCGAACGTCACGCTTTCCAGAGAACAACCATCGACACCCAAGAAACCCAGGGCACCCTGAAGGCAAAAAGGGTGTTTCTTGGAATGGGTCTCAACTATATGTCGTTCTTTGCTTGTGCTCTTCGAGGTCCATAGACGGGCATCCTGGGGCGCCACAAGAGGAAACCAGGATGGAGCAATGTCGACAACGACTCGGGATGAATAAATTGGCCCTCGGCAAGGGGCTGTCACGAGCAAATGCGACGTCGGAGGAGAGGGGAGAGGAGATGGGAGGAGATAGCAGGAGAGTTTGGGGGAGCGGGTAGCGGACATGGGGGTGGAGATGGGTGGTAGATAGGGGGCGGATACGGGGGAAAATAAAGAGGGAGAATGGACGATAAGAGTTCTACATTTATCCGCCACCGTGCCTCGAGGCACGACATGAAGTGTCCCAGGGCCCTCCGAATCCGTTGCACTGGGTGGGTACTGCAAGAATTATGCACATACGGGGCTCATCACGGCCCCGAACTCTGGGCGTTCTTGCGAATTCCTCGCGTGACGCTTCCACAGGCCAAGAGCATTTAAATCGGGACATGCAATTTCAATGTTGCGTGATATCTCCCCAGGGGCCGTCCCGGAGCGCTCTTGGCGCCTCTCAGGCCGTCTTGGCGGCCCTAAGAGCGCTCAAGATCGCCACAAGACTGCGCAAGATCCCCCACATGGGTTATGTTGTTCCCATCGCACTTAAAGGCCACATCCCAGAAATAATTTCGAGCACCCGGAAAAGTGTCGAAACAGAGTCGAAACAGTGTCGGACGAGTGTCGCCCAGGGCCCGACAAGTGAAAACCTTCGAGTTTCGGTACTTTTCTGTGCTCGAAATTCTTTCCAGTGATCAAGGCTGAAGTAGGTTGGAACATCATAACACGAGGGGTCTAAGGGGTCCCCATGACCCGAAAAGGCGCGCGAAACAGAGTAGCACGAGCCGAGATTTGGAGCCCTGGGCCCTGGGCCCCATGATGGCCGCCGAGACGGGCCGTGGCCCCAGGAGACTCCAATAACCCTGTTCCCCTGATGATAACAGGGTGGATACCCCAGATTTCGTAATAAAAGGGAGGGGGTCACAACCCAGACGAGAAGTTTTAGACCCCCTCAGACCATCCATGTAAGGGCGGCTCTTTGCCCAGACCCCCCCGAACCCTCCAAGACAGTTCAAATGAGACCCCCCTCCAAATGTGACCCCCCCACTGTAATTATTATAGAATCCAGAGTATAACGAAGTTCGGGATTCTGGGGGGATGTGCGATTATCTCCCTGGCAACTCGCACGTACGATGACAGGCGCTAGCTACATGGGAGTATGCCACACGATCGTGATAGGGCTGCTAGTCAACAGAAGAGGGTAGCAACTTCGATTCGTGCTGTCCCCGGCGATGATGAAGTTTGGCCTCGCTGCCCCTTCGCCCCGATTGATTCTGGCGATCTGGATTGATAAACTCTCAGGTCTTGAGGGGGGGTGCGTGGTTAGGATTCAAAAGGGCCTCTTCGGATGCCACCCATGTCCCCAATAGATGTCTAAGAGACCTCTGGACTACAATCTGGGCGCCGTAGCTGGTTGGGCCAAAGGCCGCTGGACCTGCCGTTCTCTGCTGCTTGCCAAACTGTGCACGGCGTGCTGAAATTACGATCAGGGCCTGGACTGGAAGAGCATCCCTCAAAATCACGAGACCCTCCGCCGGCCTAACACCTAGAACATTCGAGGCTGCCCGCCCCCAAGACTTACAAGAACATCCAACAAGCACGAACAGCATTAGGGTACCCTCGCCGAACCGACCTCGATCTTCTACCTCGGTCCGACTGCATTGACTGGCCCTTTGGGCCCTTCCAGAAAAATTCCGATGTGCTCCGGCACACGGAAGAACCGAACTAAGCTGGAGGTGAGAGCCCTTTTCGTACAATATGGCCTCACAAGAACATACAAGACTGTCAAGATGAACCGACAAGACGGCCTCCCAGACGGCCCCAAGACGCCTCCAAGACGGCGGCAAGTGAGCCTAACATGCCTCCGAGACGGCCTGCGATAAGTCAGAATGGCCCAAGATGGCCAAATTCTGTCTCAGGACGGCCCGAAGGGCCACTGAGACGCCTCAATCTGATTCCTGGAGTCCCGCCAGGGCCCGCAGATGCCAAATCACAAAAAATCCAAAGTTATGTGTTTTAACGATGGTTGCGTTCTCAGCCCTTTGGGCTTCCGATGGCCCAACACGGCCTCCAATTTGGCTCAAGGGTGGCCCCAGAAGCCCCCAAGAGTGACCCGAGACAAGCCAAGTGGGTCCAAGAAGGTCCAGGAGGTCAACAATAACGGCACCGTGAGAGCCCCAAGTCGGCTCCGGAGACATCCAAGACGACCCGAAAGCGTCACAGCCAGGCCTCAAGAAGGCCCAATGATGCCCCAAAGACGGACCCCGAAGACCAAGCGACCCTTGAAATTAGGCCCTCAATGGCCCCCCAAGAGGCACCAGCAGGCCACACCCGTGTGCTCCACGAAGCCTTCAGGAGGCCCCAAGATTCCAAGAGGCCGCTTCTTCCTCCTTCGCCTCCTCCTCCTCCTCCTCCTCCCCCTCCTCCTTCGTTCTCCTCCTCCTCCTCTTCTTCCTCCTCCTCCTCTGTTTCTTCCTCCGCCCAGTGCTCCCCCAAGGGTTTCGACAACGGCTCGGGCCAGGGCGTCGGCCCAACACTTCGCCAAATCAACGTTTCCAAACTACAGGGGGCGGCGGTGGTTTACCGTTGGTGTCGCCGATCGTCCACCCTCGTGTCGGAGACCATAAGACGAAGCCAGGACGAGGATAAAATCGGGTGAGGGTCTTTCTGAGGTCCAGCGGCTCTGGAAGATGTCTCGGGCGCAGCCTTCTCAGAGCGTTCTGGAACCCTCTGAGAGCGTTCCGGAGAGCTCTGGAACGGATGCATCCTCGTGCTAGTCCCGTCCGAGACCTCCTGACCCGGGTCAATCCAAACCCAGCAAGATCCTGCAAGATCCAGCAGGATCCTGTAGCCATGGTCAGTGGACGCCATCTGGCGCTTTGGCTGACCTCCGCTTGCATGGACCCCCGTTCCTTGGGCCTCGATCGTCAGAGAGAGGGTGAGGGTGCCCGAGCGGTCTTACTTTGTCCCTGCTCGCGTTCGTCCGTCTTTGGGTCGTCTCTCTGGCGGCCACGCTGGGAGGCCACGCTGGGAGGCCACGCTGGGGGGCCACACTGGGGGGCCACACTGGAGGGCCACGCTGGGAGCCACGCTGGGAGGCCACGCTGGGAGGCCACGGTTGGAGGCCACGCTGGGAGGCCACGCTGGGGGGCCACGCTGGCACGCTTGGAGGGCTCACCGAAGAGGGGCGGTGTGTCCGTAGCGGTTTCGGTTCAAATCCCGCTAGCAGTGAGCGCGTCGTGGCTTCTGAGAGCGCCGCCAAGCTTCCTCTCACTTATCCGCAGCTGCGGGGGATTGGGTTTACTTACTACTACCTTCGGTCCAACACGGGCAGGGTGCGATTCCAGGTCTGGGGAGCGGATAGAGTGCAAGCGAGGGGGCAGCGGAGAGCCCAGCCAGCCACAGCCGGGGAAGCTGTGGTGGGCATACACCGCACCGACGATCCACACAGCCAGGGAAAACTGTTGCTCTTTGGCCCCCCCAGGGGGTCAAAAAAGACCAACGCTCCCCTAGATGTGGCTGGCCTGAGACCGATTCCAGCGCCAGGATACAGAATCCAAAATGTTTCCACCCCGCGGGGGCGCTGGCAGGGGCTCGATACACACACCACACACCACACACCACACACCACACACCACACACCACACAACACACAACACACAACACACACAACACAACAACACACACACAACACAACAACAACAACACCACCACCACCAACAACAACAACGGCAACAACAACAGCAACAGCAACACCAAGAACAACAACAACAACAACAACAACAGCAACAACAACACCAACAACACCACCACCACCACCACCACCACCACCACCACCACCACCACCACCAACAACAACAACAACAACAACAACACCACACACACACACCAACACACACCACACACACAACACACACACACACCACGCCGATTGGCCGGGCAAGGAGCTGCGCATATGAAAGCGTCAGCGTTCCACAGGCTGGGGCGCTGGGGCCTCTGTCCAACGAATGCCTCCGCTGAACTCTTTGGCTCCCTGGCCGGCCAAACGACGAGTGCACACTGAGTCCCTCCGAGGCCCTCCGACCCCGAGAGCAGGCCCGGACGGCTTTTCCACGAGCAGGCTGCAGGGAGTCTCGCACGAGCTGCCTGGCGGATACAAAAATCGACCGGGCCCGTGGCCGCGCAGGCGCGCGCGCCGGGGCCAGAGAACACACGTCGGGTGTTGCTAGAAGTGCCCCTGGCCCAAGGTGCCCCCAGCTTTTCGCTCCATTTTGGAGCCCCTGGGGTCCTCTGGGCCTCGTGAGGAGTGCCCTGGAGGCCGCCTGGGCCACCCCGAGAATCCTGGGGGTACCTTGGGCAAGGGGTACTTCTAGCAACACCCGAACAAAGCGCACCGCCTCTCACTGCCGGAGCAGCTCAGCCAGACTCCGGGCTGCGGCGGAAGTACCCTGCCTCACCGGGGGCGTCGACCGTTTGGCCCAGGGTGCCGTAGCCTCAGATGAGCGACGAGAATAAACAGGTCCTACGCGCGACGGCATCGCGTGGCTTACGCGGTGACTTACGCAGGCCGCCAGCGCGGCACGCTACACTAAAAACGAGGGCGCTTACCCACGACCTTACGCGGGGCAACTTGCGCACAAATGTTCGCGCAATCGATCCCGTTTTTCTGCATCGCTCAGATGCCACCCCGACCGCAGATCCCATGCGGGTCCCCCGGCCAAAGCCTGATCCAGATCTCTGCACGAATCACTCGGCCGACCCCAGGCACCTTTGCGTCGACCGACCCGTCGCCCTATAATACCTTCGGTCAGGCACATAATGCCCATCAAGCGTCCCGACCTAGATCGATCGTCAGATCGGCTGGCTTGGGATGCCCTCTCTGGAGGCTCTTCAAATAAGGTCCGAGAAGATGGGGTCTGGTCGGAGGATCGCGCCGCATCGCCGATGCATCAGCGATGCATCTCCGATGTCATCGGCGAATCTGGACTGCTCGGGATCCCCTCTCGGGCGATCCATCGACGAGTCGGCCAGCTCGGGATCTTCTCTCGGGCCGCGGCCCTTGACGTCCTCGTCCTTGAAGGGCTGGACCTGGGGACACAACAAGGTAACGATACCGCTGCACCCCTTGAGCTCTCTGCGGGGGGATCCAGACAAGAACTTCAAGGGAAATCCAGCCGTGGCGACGAGGGCTCTCAAGGACGAGCAGCGGTATCAATTTCTTCTCCACTGCTACACCCCGGACCTCTGCAGGAGTGCGCTTGACCAGAATCACACCAGGCCTTTTGTGCGGGGGTGGTTCAGGGTGTTGTCTTCTCTTCATCTTCCCGCTTCCCCTGTCGGGGCGTCGGGGAGGGGCTTACCCTTAGGTCGGGTGTGTCCTCCTACAGGCGAATTGTGGGCGAAAACTTACAAATATTCAAAAGATGCTACAACATACTAAGAAATAGTCAAACATCGTCGCCACACTATTTTGTCGACCATTTTTCAATATTCCTCCTGTAGAGGGACGCGCCCGACATAAGCTTCCCCCTCTCCCTCCCCCTACCCCCTCCCCCTGGCTCTGGACGGGTAGGGGGCGCTGAGGCGTTGGAGCGTCCAAGATGGTCCACAGATGGCTGCAAGAGGGCCCCCAGAGAGCCCAAGAGAACCTCCAAGATGGCTCAAGACACCCCTCGGGATGGCACAAAAAATCGCCCAGCATGCTCCAAGAGCCCCCAAGACCGCTCCAGGACGGCCTCGAGTGGCAACGGAGCCTCCCAAGGACGCCCCCGACAGGTCCAAGTCTTTCCAAAAACTACGAACTGATGGAACCCATGTTCTGTGTGTGTTGGTCTTTTTCGCGTCATAGAATTCAGCCCTTGAGACCTCGAGAGAACTCCAAGACGGCCCCAAGAGCGCCTAAGAGTGACCCAAGAGCGCCCCCCTATGCCCCAATGGGGGTTCAAGAGAAACACCACTGATGAAGACTCCGCGCTCTTTGACGAATGCCCTCCAGGTGCACCCCAAGAGGGTCTGCACGGACCTCAAGAAGGCCCCAAGAGACCCTCGAGATTTCTCCTGACTGGTCCCAAGAGGGCTCTATCCGTGAGGGGTATCCTCCTCCTCCTCCTCCTCCTTCTCCTCCTCTTCCCTCTCCCCTCCTCCTCCTCCTCCTCCTTCTCCTCCTTCTCCTCGTCCTCCTCCTCCTCCTCCTCCTCCCTCCTTCCTCCTCCCTCCTCCAAGACGGCTCCAAGAGGCCCCCTAAAGATGCCCCCCCTACCGCCAGACCCCGTCGCTCCCCAGAGAGCTCCCCAAAAACCCAACAACGACAACGAGATGACTCGAAGAGTCTCCTTGGTAGCCGATGAGTCATCTCTGATCCTTTTCATCTTCCTGTGAAATGCTCGCGTCCTTCGTCTCATACTGGTCACTCTCTTGCTCCGCTAGATACGTCCCCCTTATGAACCCTCTCATCCTCATGATTCTCTTCTGGCCCCTTCTCATCATCCTCTTCGCCATCCAGGTCTCTCTTCGTTCGTTGTATAAGGCCGTTCGAGTATTGCTCGTATTCCCTTTCATCATGTGGTTTGGGGTCCTCGCTTTGAAAAGAAAGAGAGAGAGAGAGAGAGCGCCCGCGTCTCACTCCTTCCTCCTCCCCTCCTCCCTTCCTCGTCCTCCTCCTCCGCCTCCTCCTCCTCCTGGTCGGTCTCAGCTCAGCCTGCGCCGCCAACGTCGGCACACCTCCCGCACGCTTCGTGGCCTCATTGGCAGCTCCACCGAAGGCCCCAATGGTAGCCTTGGCCTGGCGGCCCCTCACACGTTCCGTGGCTCGTAGCCATGGCCCCCCGCGCCCATTTTGGTACACCCCTCACACGGCTCGTGAGCTCCACGGAGGCCCCAGCGGCGGCATTCGCATGGCGGCCCCCGCACCCACCTTGGCACAGCCCATACTTTCCGTGGCCCCGTAGAGAGGCCCACCGAAGGACCCAGTGGCAACGTTGTTTTGGCACATCCTTCACACGTTCCGTGGCCCCATACGGAGCTCCACCGAAGGCCCCAGTGGCAGCGTTCGCTTGGCGGCCCCGCGCAAATTTTGGCACGCCCCTCACGCACTACGTGGCCCCATACGGAGCTCCACCGAAGGCCCCAATGGCGACGTTCGCACGCGACTCCCCCCGACCATTTCGGCATACCGCTCACACCGCTACGTGGCCCCATAGGGAGCTCCACCGAAAGCCCCAATGGCGTCTTTCGCATGACGGCGCCGCCCCATTCCGGGACACCCCTCACGCGTTTCGTGGCCCCATATGAAGCGCCACGGAAGGCCCCAATGGCTGCGCCCGCATGTGTCTCCGCCCCATTTCGGTACACCCTTTACACGCTTCGTGGCCCCATAAGGAGTTCAACTGAAGGCGATACCCACAACGGCGATACTCACAAATGCATTTGGTTGGGCCCTTCGACAAGATAATTGTTCATCATCCTCCTCCCCTTCCCCTTCCTCTTCCGCCATCTTACCATGCTCCTCCTACTTCTCCCGGCTTCCCACTTCCCCTTCCGTATCATTTTGTTTAACTGCTGCCTTCTGTCGGGGCATCGTTTCTGCATGGGCTGGTGGAGATGCGCGAAACGATACACCAGTTTCAGAAATATCCCAGCCGTGGCGACGAGGGCCTCCAAGACGAGCAGCGATATCGGTATCTTCCCCAACCGTGCGATGTCCAGATTTATTCACACGGGGACCCCAGAAGTGCCAAGCCAGGGCCAATTTTTGCGCGTCGTCTTGGTATGGCCCTGGGGGGCCTGGCGGGGGGCCCCAGAGACCGCACGTCGCAAAACAGCTGCCCGTCGTGAATTCTTCACGACGCGAGCGTGCCTGGGCCTTCATACTCCGAGGACCATCAGCCACTGGGTGAACCCGGGCACGGCGATCAGCCACGGCAGGGCGATCACGAGCAGCTCCGGCGCGCCGAACCCCTCGTACCTCACGCAGGCCCCCCGGGGGATGCCCCGGCGGCCCCCGCGAGGAGGAGCGGTAGCCAGGCAGGGGGGAAGCGCCGAGCTGGAAGCGTTGACGCGTCGCCGATGGGCTCCCTACGGGCGAATCTCCTCGCGGTCCTGGGTGGGCCCCGAGCGGCGAAGAGTGGGCGACCGGAGGTGACTGCTTTCCCCCCCCTGAGCCGAGTTATCCCCCCCCCCTTCGCACCACCACCACCCCCGCGCGGGTGCGGGAGCACGCGCGAGGGGGAGGGGGGAACCTCCTGCAGTGGAGGCCAGTCCGCAAGAAACCTTCTACAAGAAACCCAGCCCTGGGCCCCCAGGACGTCTTTCGATTTTTGGTGTGGGAACGTCACGCCTTCCACAGCAAAACCATCGAAGCCCAAGAAAACCAGCTCACCCTGGAGGCAAGCAGGGCGTTTCCTGGCATTGGCCCCCACCGCCCACTGTCTTACTTGAGACTGTGCCGAGAGCAGGGTCCGTCCCAGGGCAGCCCTGGGGCCCCGAGGCCGACGGTGCCCAACACCCTCGAGGCAGGACCGCGTGCGGAGGCGCGCGGCCACCGCGCGCAACACCCTCGGACTTCGACGGCGGCGGCAGGCCCGCGGACCCGTTCCAAGGAGGAGGAGGAGGAGGAGGAGGAGGAGGAGGAGGAGGAGGAGGAGACAGAGGGCGAGGAGGGCGAGAAAGAAGAGGTGCACGAGGATGCGCCAGCTTCCGGGCTCTGATTCGGGCCTCCCCAGAACGCTCTCGGCGAGGCGCAGCTGCTTGAAAAGCATCCCGAGGCGAGGACGCATCCAAGAACCAACGAAGACCTCCAAAGCATTTTCTCGTCCTCGTGAGGGGACGAACACATACGCGGCCGCTTCTCCACGGACGTCTCCGGGGTTCTGTTCTGACCCCGACGTCGATGCGAACCCAGCCGTGGCGACGAGGGAGGAAAATTCGCAAGATCGATTTCCCCTCCTCTGAGATTTGGTGAGGAGGAGCAGTTCCGTCTAGTGGAGCCCCTCCAGATTGTCGTCCTGAAGCGGCAGGACCATTACAAACCTGTCCCTCTTGCCGATCATTCACCAAAAGTACGCTACCCAACGGCAGATCGATATAACGCTCCATTCCGCGACAGAACCAGTATGGCCCTCGGAGCCTTCCCAACGGACCGAGGGCTCGAGGAGGCGCAGAATCCTCACCAGCCTCAGAAGGCGTCACCTTCACCACTGCTGCGAGTTTTGGCGAGGAGGAGGAGGAGGAGCAGCAGCAGCAGCAGGAGGAGGAGGAGTATGGGGAGGAATACGGGGGAGGTGGAGGAGGACGAGAAGGAGGAAGAAGAGCAGGAGGAGGAGGAAGAGGAGGAGCAGGAGGAGGTAGGAGGAGGACGAGGACGAGGAGGAGGAGGAGGAGGAGGAGGAGGAGAAGCAGCAGGAAAGAGCACGAGGACGCGGACAACGAGGGGAGGCGGGCACGTGAGCTCGATGGCGCGCGCGGGGAGGGGCAGCGAGGCCCCCACGGCGCCGGCGAGCGCGGCGGTGCCGACGGCGGCGCCCGGGGCCTCGTCGAACGGCCGCGAACGACTACGTCGACGACGACGACGTCTATGTCGACGACGACGACGACGACAACGACGACGACGCCGACGACGCCGATGACGTCGACGAAGCCGACGACGACGGCGACGAGCCCGACGATGACAACGACGTTGACGCCAATGACCACGTCGCCGACCTCAACGACGACGCCGACAACGAGAACGCCTCCTCTCGACGTGATCTCCAACGAGAAGTATGAAGTTTTTAGACCCGGCCTTTCCTCGGGTTCCTCGTTCTTGGCCTTCTGGGCTTTCACTAGGCAACCCCAAGGCGATAAAAAGATCGAAACCAAAGGTCAATCAAAAGTGGATCCGAGACGGACAAGAAATACACCTGGGGGAGGGGTCGGGACTCCTGGGTCCGCGCATTGAACTTCACATCGTTGGATATCTGAAATGATGCCCCGACATCTCCACCGCGGGCATTCTTCCGCCTCGGATCCGCTCTTGACGGGCCCCGGGGCCCGGCAGCGGGCTGGCACCAGGGGGGCCACACTCGACGCAGAACGCCGGGACTACCCAAATCGCGTCGCCAGGAGACAAGGAGGGTGCCAGGGTCAGAGATCGGGCCCGCGACCGCGACCTGTCCTGGAAGGCAATCTCTGGCCGGAGCCCGCCCGCGGCGACGATGAGCCTCCCAGGTCCACAACGAGCGGCAAAAATCGTCCGACCACCTCCGTCCTCGAAGCTCTCCCTGGGCACATCCATGATGGGCCTGTGTTCCACAACCACCACCACCATAAGCCATAAGCTGGAGGGAGGAAGGAGGAGGAGGACTGGGAGGAGGAGGAGGAGGAGGAGGAGGAGGAGGAGGAGGATGAGGAGGGCCCCCTCCCCCTCCAACTTATGGTGGTGGTGGAAAACAGGCCCACCAATCCAGACTGGATCTTCTAGGAGAATCCAGCAGTGACGACGAGGACTCTCCACGGACAAGAGAGCCAACGACACCCCACCCACCTGCGGCCCCACGGGGTTCACGTGGCGTCACCTTAGAAATCAGGTGTAGGCTCTTGCGCGGCATGCGCTACGGCACCCGATGGGCCGTAGCGCATGGCGGGCCGCGGGTGGGGTGGTGTCCTCTCTGGCGCGCGGAGCGCACCAAGGGCGGCGCCTGAGGCTCCGCCAGGTGAGTCCAGCGCCGATCCGAGAAATCCGCGCGGACCTCCAAGTTTGGATTTTTATGTCATTCTTCGTTCCCCCATTGCTGGTCGACGCCTATGGAGGAACCGAGCCGTGACGACGAGGGCCCTCCTAAATCGTCAAACCTGCGGAACTCCACGCGGATTTCCTGGATCGGCGCTGGGCCCGCGCACCGGGGGCGGCACCAGAAGCGCCGCCAGAGGGGGCCCAGGTCCCGAGAGTTCCCGCTTGTGCCGCTTATTTCGTCGTCGGTCCAGGACGAGCAATACGGGCATGTCCTCCTACAGACGGATTTTGGGCGAAAATCGAACAATTAGAGAAAACAGAAAATGATAGAGAAGTCGTCCCATATTATTTGTTCACTAATTGTGACGAGTCCTCTTGTAGAAGGCACGCCAGACTGAAGACGAGCAGCGGCATTTCTGAAACCAATCAAATACGTACCAGTGCCGCCACTCTCCGGACCCCTCCCGGGGTGCGTTCTGGCCTCGATGGCGGTGCGAATCCAGCCGTCGCGACGGGGGCCTCCCAGGAGGCCCAACCAAGAGGCGCAACGATGGAAGGGTAGCGGTATCGGCAGCTCCTCTTCCTCCTCCTCCACCTCCTCCTTCTCCTCCTCCTCATCCTCCTCCTCTTCCCCCTCCTCCTCCTCCTCCTCCCCTCCTCCTCCTCCTTCTCCTCCTCCTCCTCCTCCTCCTCGTCCTCGTCCTCCTCCTCCTCCTCCTCCTCCTCCTCCTCCTCCTCCTCCTCCTCCCCCTCCTCCTCCTCTTTCCCCTCCCCCTCCTCCTCCTCCTCCTCCTCCTCCTCGCCCTCCTCGCCCTCCTCGTCCTCCTCGTCCTCCTCCTCCTCGTCCTCGTCCTCGTCCTCGTCCTCGTCCTCGTCCTCGTCCTCGTCCTCCTCCTCCTCCTCCTCCTCCTCCTCCTCCAGGACCTCCTCGCCCACCCCACTGGGGATCTGGGGCCTCACTGGCGCGGGGTGGGGAGACGAAGGCGGGCGCGGCGAAGCGGTACAGCGCGACCGCCGCGAGGGCGAGCAGAGCCAGCCGGGTGACGCGGGCGCTCCTCACGAGGGGGCGCTTTTCCCAATTCTCCTTGTCCTGCCGCCGCCCCTGACACCTGACACCTGACACCTGGTGGCTGGAAAGCTCGTCAGAGCGTGGCCTTCCCCTCCTCCTTCTCCTCCTCCTCCTCGTCCTCCTTCTCCTCCTCCTCCTCGTCCTCCTCTTCCTCCTCCTGTTCCTCCTCCTCCTTTTCCTCCTCCTCCCTTTCGCCCTCAACCTCCTCCTCCTCCTCCTCGTCCTCCTCCTCCCCCTCCACCTCCCCCTCCCCCCTCCTCCTCCTCCTCCTCCTCCCTCCTCCTCCTCCTCCTCCTCCTCCTCCTCTCCTCTTCCCCGTCCTCCTCCTCCTCCTCCTCCTCCTCCTCCTCCTCCTCCCCCTCCCCCTCCTCCTCCTCCTCCTCCTCCTCTTCCTCCTCCTCCTCCTCCTTTTCCTCCCTCCTCCTCCTCCTCCTTCTCCTCCTCCTCCTCCTCCTTCTCCGTTTCCTCCGCCTCCCATTCCTCTTCCTCATATTCCTTGCGTGGTTTCCTCGTTCCTCCTCCGTTCACTCCTCTATATCCCGTCTCCTCCCCGTCTTCATCCTCTCCCTCCTCCTCCTACTCCTTTTCCTCCTCCTCCTCCTCCTCCTCCTCCTCTTCCTCCTCCTCCTCCTCCTCATCATCATCATCATCATCATCATCACCCTCGTTTTCCTTTTCCTGTTCCTCCTCCTTCGCTTCCTCGTCCTCCTGGTCCTCCTGGTCCTCCTCGCCTTCGTCCTCGTCGTCGTCGTCGTCGTCCTCCTCGTCCCTGTCCTCCTCCTCCTCCTCCCTGTCCTCTTCCTCCTCCTCCTCCTCCTCCTCCTCCTCCTCCTCCTCATACTCATATTAATAGTATTGTTAGTATTCTTTTTCCTCCTCCTCCTCCTCCTCTTGCTCCCCCTCCTCCTCCTCCTCATCCTCCTCCTCCTCGTCCTCCTCCCCCCCCCGTCGCAGCCCCCTCAGGCAAACTAAGCCGCGACGCAGGGGCGGACCACGCTTCTCGCCCATCGCGGGTCTACACGGGCAACCAGTGTTCCAAGAAAAGCAGCAGACCCCCCCAATTGACACACCCGAGCTTTCGTGGCCATCGCGTCGATGTAGGAGGAGGCAGCCACAACTCGTTCGGGTAAGCAACCGCACCAGCTCGCCAATGATCGCCAAAGCGACTGGGCCAAAGTGTGGCGCGCGCGCGTTCGCGGCTGCGAGAAACCCGACCTCCCGCCAGGAGCCGACCAAATGGCCCCCTCTCTGCTCGAGATCGGTGCGACGGAGGTTTGGGCAGTTTCGTTTCCCAAAAAGGGCGGCCGTTGGGCTGGCTCGCCTGCTTCATTTGAGCGATGGAGCTATGCGCTGGCTAGTTTCATTCCCAACCATCCTGTGGTGTTGGGTCCTCGTTTTGCAAAAACGCCCTGGGTTGCCTCACTCCTCCTCCCTTCCGTTCCCTCCGTCCCAACATCATCGCCAGCATCATCGCCATCGTCATCGTCATCGTCATTCTCCGCATCATGATCGTGATCATCATCTTCCTCATCCTGATCACGATCACCACCACCATCATCATCTGCATCATCATCGCTAATGCGTCTCTAGCACCTAGTACAGCGCTTCGTGACCCCATAGGGAACTCCACCGAAGGTCCCAATGGCTGAACTCGCGTGCGGTCCCCGCGCCCAGTACATCGCTTCGTGGCTCCTTTGGGAGCTCCACACGGAGTCCCAGCGGCAGAACTCGCATGCGCTCCCTGCGCCCAATACACCGCTTTGTGGCCCGATAAGGGGGCTCCACCGAAGGTTTTCCCAGTGGCGGAACTCGCAAGCGGTTCCTGCGCCAGCCGTCGGGAGCTCCACCGGAAGTCCGAAGGGCGGATTTCGAACGCGGTTCCTGCGCCCAGTACACGTTTCGTGGCCCCATAGGGAGCACGCCGTTCACGCTCTTCGTGGCCCCATAGCTGACTGGCGTGACCCTGGACTGCGGCCGCCACGAGGTCGGGAGCGGAAAGAAGAAGGACGACGACAGGTGGCTGGAGCTCAACGCGCGGATCTCGCGGGCCACGCGCCACGAAGACCCCTTGCTCATGCGGGCGCCGCGGATCGAGTATTTCCTGGCAGGGCAGCTGGAATGCTTGCAGAAGTAGCTGGAACAGTTTGCGGCGCGCGCGAAGCGGTGCAGGAGGGGGGCGACGGCCCTCGCCAGGGCGCTGGGCTTCACCGAGACTGTCCGCGAGGCCTGACCAGGGGAGCGGCCCGCCCGGGCCTCGCCTTCTCTCGATGGTCTGACTGTTTGGCCCCGCGCCGCGGACGACCCGCGCGCGTCGCTGGAGCCCTCTCGGGGCGACCAGCCCGCGTCGCGGGAACTCGATGCTGCGCTTTGGCCGGCGCCTCGCTCGCCTGTCGTCGCCCTGCCCAGCAGTCAAAGCATTGCCAGCAAGTGGCCAGCGGGCTAGCTCCCATAGTTCCTCGCAGCGGACGACCCGCGCGCGTCGCTGTCGGGGCGACCGGCGCGCGTCGCGGGGGCTCCGCGCTGCGCTGCGCCCGCAGCCTTGGGCTCTGGAGCGCGCGGGCACACAGGGAGAAAAACAAAGGGAAGGACAAATTTGGACGGCCCACCTTCTCTCGCTACCCCTCATCGACCAGATCGCGGACAGATGGAGCCACGCCGAAGGCTTTATAGGGAGCTCCGCCGAAGGCCCCAGTGGCAGCGCCTGGTGGCGCGGCCATTCCACATTCGCACACGCTCACACGTGTCGTGCCCACATGAGGAGCTCCACCGAAGACGACATTCACAGACGCGGTAGTCACAGCTGCATATGGCTGGATCCTCTGCCAGGCTATCTGTTCACGCGCTGCGAGGCGCGCTGCGCGTGGCCGGTGGGAAGGACGACAACGAAATTTGTCGGGCTGCCCAAGCCAGGTAGGTCGATAGAGCATCGCCTCGCAGCCTTGTTGCAAACGTTTGCGATGGCGCAGGGGAAGGGCCGTCGTCCCGGGATGCTGCGCTGCCACTGCGATCGTGCAAGTGATCATGCCTAAGCGCCCAGTACAAGGATCGCAATGAGCTTCAGCCTCTTACCCCGTCGGGGACGATGGATCTCGCGCCCTTCCAGTGGGTCGGGAGCTAGGCGGAGAAGGCAGGCGTGGTCTTCAATGCTTTCGGCGCTTGCGCAAGATGATTGTGATGCCAGGTTCGGGCTGCGCCCGTCCAAGTCTGGCCGCTAGGCCTCGTCGCGGCAAGCTGCGCGGCAAGCTGCGCTGAAGGTCTCAAAACTTGCTGCGTTCAGCACAGCACCCAGGGCCCGATTCCTTCGCCGGCGGCGCCGCCCACAGCGCCCAGGGGCGGAAACGTTTGGGGGCGGTCCTTGGACGCTGCGGGAGGCTTTGGGCCCCAAAGAGGGCTGGTGGGTTCAAGGTTCAGGCGCTGTGGAGAACGGGAATCGCGCCGCGAGGGAGTCCTCGATCAGGCATGTCCTCCCGCAGGCGGATTTTGAAGGAAGAATTAGACATACACCAAACATCTCGTAACATACTCAAACAAACTAGAAAAATCGTCCGCAGACTATTTCGGATATTTTCGAGTATTCCTCCTGTAGAGGGGCACGCCCGACTTAGAGGTAGTCGCAGGGCGGGGGCCGTAGGACTCACTGGCTCGACCCCGGTGGGGCCGGCGAGTTGCTTAGGGGCCAGGAAAAGGCCTCCTGTCGCCTGCAGCTTGTCCATGCGCTCAATAAGATCGGATGCGCGCTCCTTCCGTGGATGCCACGTGCCCGCTTTTGCCCGAGAATCCTGCTGCTCGGCCGTAAAAGGGAAGAACCCCGCCTTCTCAGCTTAGGGCGGCGTGGCAGGCGATCCGCAGTCGAATTGGGCAACAGAGGGCGTGGAGATGGTGCTTCGGGCCCATATCCGCGGCCCTCCTCACTCTTCGAAGGAGCGGCTGCACCTGCCGGCTTTCGCCCTCCCAGCAGGCGCTCGCAAAAGGTCTGCCGGTGCTATCCTGTCGGGGGGTCAATGGCCGCCTGAGCGCAAGTTCCAGGCTAGCCTTTCCGAGTCGGGTAGACGTTGCTCTTGCGGAGCTGAGCGCGGTGCGATCGCCCACCAGTTGCACGATTGCGACGCAGCGTTTGCCTCGAGTGTGGTAGAGCACCGAGGCTACCTGGTCCAGACGATGTGCGGCAGCGCAGGCAAATGTTGCGGGAGCAGGGGATCAATCCCGCCGCCGCCGCCGCTCACCCGCCCCTCTGTCCTGCAACGGGGCGGAGCACGCGGGGCCCTGCGCGGTTCGCCGACTTCAACGGTGTTGCAAGATCTTGCCTCGTGGCTGCCAAATGTGAATGGAGTGCGGCTGTGATCGCGGCCGATGGATGGCCCCTCCGAGCGAAGTCCGGCGGGCTGCCAGGCCCGTTTCAGACGGTTCCCAGAGGCGAGAGGTGGGCGGGGTTAAAAGCGATACGCGCGTTCCCTCCCAACCTCACCAACATTTGTGATCATCTGAATTTTGGTAGGGGCCGAGACTTGGGTTCCCTCCCTCGAGTGCGGTCTCTCGCGGCACGCGTCCGCCTGGGGGATAATCTTTCGGCTCATTGAGCGCACAAGTTGCAGACCGCAGCTTTTCTAGACCCCAACGCGCAGGACGCTAGTTGAGCACGTGGAATCAGGTGCCTCGACTCGTCATACCGATTCGAAGGCAATCCCTGGGTTGACTTCTGAGCAACGCTAGGGACTCAGAATGTGGCTGTTGCACAAGTCGTCGCGGTCGATTCCTTGAGGGGCGCTGTGAAGGTGTGCGAACTAACCTTTGATTTCCTGGGCAGGGATGTCCTATTGATCAGTGCTCGTCCCGAAGCCCAGGAGGTCGACCTCTCCACACCCCAAGCACGCCACTGCTAGGCAGGACGCCTCACTGCGATTGCGCGTGGTCCTGGATTGTTGGCCCCTGGCTCGTCCTCGGTCCAGTGCAGGCGGTGATTGGCTGTGGCTCGGGCCCCATCCAGCGCGAAGGCGCTGCTCAAGCCATGCGCCAAGTGTGACCCCCTTCGATGCCCCAGGCCTTGACCCAGGCTGTAGAGCAGTTGGGGTGGCGCTCGCGCGTTGACGGGTGCAGAAGAGGCTCTGCCATGCTCTGCTGCTGCTGGGACGGCGGTGGAGGTCAGCGGGTGCCTCCTCGAACGCGAGGGACACAGAACGCATCGCTCTGGGCTTTCCGTTTTCTGTGTGTCCGTGTAGGGCTCGGGATGCGGTTGGGTCCCCGGATATCGATAGGCTGGGGGATCCCTGCCCCTCGCCTGAGGTCGGGCATGTCCCCCTACAGGCGGATCTCGGGCGAAAAATAAAAGATATCCAAAACTATATTAGGAAAATCGTCCCCAGACTATTTTTGAAAATTCCTCCTGTAGATTAACACGCCCGACTGAAGGAGTGGGGATCCCTGTAGCCCCACCGAGACCCGCGCGCCGGCGTGCCCGTCATGGGCCTGCCGACGGCAGGCACCCCACGGCCGGGTCCGTCCTCATCGGGTCGTAACTCCATGGGCGCTTCTCCTACAGTGGCCTCGCGTGTTGTGCATAGGCGCCAATATGTGCACACAAAACTCGGCACAACCAAGAGGACGGTGCAGGAACAAAAGCCGGTGCACCCGGCACCCCGCACCACCAATGGGACGGTGCTGGAGCAAGAGCCAGTGTGCCCGGCTCCCGGCACCACCAACAGGACGGTGCAGGAGCAATAAGAGCCTGTGCACCCGGCACTGGGCACCAAGAGGACGGTGCAGGAGCAAGAGCCGGCGCACCCGACACCCTGCACCTCCAAGAGGACCGTGCCGGAGAAGGGCCAAAATGCCCGGCAACCGGCACTACCAAAAGGACTGTCCTGGAGCCCGCGCACCCGGCACCCTGCACCACCAAGAAGAGGACCGTGCTGGCGCAAGAGCGGGTGAACCCGGCACCCGGCAGCACCAGCTCTGGAGCAAGGGCCGGTGCACCCGGCACCCATCACCACCAAGAGGACGGTGCAGGAGGAGGAGGAGGAGGAGGAAGGAGGGTGGAGGAGGGAAGAGGGAGGAGGGAGGAGGAGGAGGAGGAGGGAAGGAGGGAGGAGGAGGAGGAGAGAGGAGGGAGGAGGAGGAGGAGGAGGAGGAGGAGGAGGAGAGAGGAGGAGGAGGAGGAGGAGGAGGAGGAGGAGGAGGAGGGGGAGGGGGAGGAGAAGGAGGAGGAGGATGAGGAAGGCTGGTGTACAGGGGAGCCGCTACCACCACGCCTGCAGCCTGGGCTGCGCCAGCGGCCTCTCGCCGCGCCGTTTTTGTCGAGTGGTGCCTCTCTGAAGAATCCCTGGAGGCTCACCTTCGTGTATCTCTGGCGATGCTGTCCTGCGTCCTTCCTTCCCTCCTCCTCCGCCTCCTCCTCCTCCTCCAACGCACGCCCCATTCTTCTGCCTTACCCCGTCTCGTCGACCTCTCTCCTCCCGCCCGCCCTGCCTTCCCGCTGAACTG